AGCTACTGTAGAAAATCATCTGTTTGATCTAGCCAATAAAAAGTGAATTTATCTTCAAGTCTAAATAACAAATTCCACGCACGCTTTAAGTGCAACATGTATTCAATAAATTGCACTAAAATTATATCAAATGCAAGCTTTTTAGCAGTGCAGTCCGTCGTTGGGTGGTCTGTGATTTCGTGGGCAGTCTGTGCATATTCTGAAGCTGGAGAAATCGAGAAAAAACAAAGTTTGGTGCTGAATCTGCGCGTCACAATACCATCATAACGTCCCAATCCCATCATGTTCAGCGCGTTTTGTACCTTTCTTAGCTAGCCTGTGTACAGACCCCTCCTCCCCTCAGGAAAAATCGGAGGGAAGGGGGGTCTGTACACATGTCAGCGAAAACGTGATTTCTGCCATCAAATGCCGAATGATAATCAAAGACAGAATGATATTCAGACACCGGACACTAGACCTAGCTCGAATGAATGTGCATGTGGACTTTAATTTCTTTTGAACCTTTCAAAGTCAGCGCGCGCACGTAACGTTACCTCTTTGCTTTGAATTTTATTTGAACGTTATATTGCGCGTGCATTTCTCCGTTACTTTTAAACAAATTTTTGCGTTGCGTTGCATAGTTTATTAAACTTCAGGGCCACTTCAAGAGGCGAGGTAAGTTCCTTTTCTTCGTAGATTAATCGTTTTCCTTCCTAAATATTTCGGAGTATTCCGAGTTTTAGCGACATCTGATGTATATTCCCTCTGATGAAACGAATTATTTTGGTCAATTAGTTGCAACGATTGCTTGTTCTAAAACAAATGAATGACTCATTTAAATTAAAAGAGTCGTTTTACATGATGGCCATTGTGCACAATGACCCACTGAGGGCTGGCACGTACCAGTTGTGAACAGAGTCATTGCACTCGCAATCTGATCCATCGCGGTCAAAAAGCAAATAGACCGAGTCGGTGCACTCGGTGACCATTGCACGAAACAAATTGTTGTCGTACCAATAGTGACACATGTTGTTGTACCAGAAACAGTGACACTCCCTGCTGTTGAACCAGAAAACATAGTTTCATTCGAAAGTCGAAGGAATACAGTGGCGGCGGAGCGAAACAGAAAGTGGGGGGCTGAAAATAAAATTAGACATTCCATTTTAGCTCTTCCTCTGTTATCCACGTCAATGTAGACATCAAAATTAAGGTGAAAGAAAGAATCGGCGTTGTTGTTGTTGTTGCTTTTTATCACTAAAAGTCCAGGTGGCTATGCGATTTACCGCCGAAATCGCGAGTACTTGAAATGCAAAATTTCATCCCCGGCGTACATGAAGGGTTGGACGTACGTACGGACGGACAGACGATTTTCTCAGAACTAAAATTTCTTGGATGCATAGATAACCAAATTTTCTTACCTATGGTGCTCCGCTTCGCGCGCGCCAGAGCTCCGCTAAAAACAAATAGATTCCATGTAGACAGCGTAGCAGGCGGAGGTTTTTTTTGGGCGAAGGAAGAAAAGACAACAGCGAGATAAAGGTGGCTTTCATACGCATAATTACACCTTATGTTTGATTAAGAGTTTTCAAGGGTCGTAGGAGTTACCGATTATGATTCATCAGGCCCGTTTCAAACGTGGCGCTACTTCCGTGTCGAACTCAAATGAATTTGACCCGGCAGTTCCCCACGGCAATAGCACGGCAGTGGTTTCCCCGAACGTCGAATTTAATTCAGTCGCACCAAATTCAAAATATAGAAAACGTCGCAGTCAGGCACAGGAGGGTCAAAGCACTTAAAATATACATTTCATATTTTATGAATTGAGTTCGGCACGGCAATAGGGGGACGTTTGAAACTGAGCCGTGCCACTGCCGTGTAGCACGGCAGACCCTGTCGAATTTAATAACCGTGTCGAACTTAATTTAAGTTGCTGAACTAAATGGTTTCAAACGTCGTGCCACTGCCGTGCCAAATTCTATCAATTGAGTTCGACACGGCAGTGGCACGACGTTTGACACAGGTCTTAGTGGCATGAAAAGGCTGTAAAGAAAAAATTTTCTCGTCATTAATGTTTTTATTGTATAAGTTAAAATTCTATTTTAATAAAAAAAGTGAGGGCATCTTCACAATGTTAAAAAATGTTTAGACCTCCCTCTGTTTCAGAGCGTCGTTTTTCGTTAGGGATATCTGAGGTTGCTATTACATTTGTCTCGTTAATTGGTTGCTTGTGGTCGAAAGATCGAAATTTTGATTCTCCCTAGTACCAATGGTAAAGTTATGGCTATAGGAGCTATGAGAATTTAGTAATAAATCAAGGCCATCGATGCTTAGTTTTGGACACCTGTCTCAGTTGACAATGAACGATCAGATATTGTCGCGGTTAAGTGAAATTATCGCTGTTGGTGTTCTTAAAAGAATAATGATGGCTCATTGGTCATTGAAGTCGTTGTTTTTATTCCCCTATTTGCAGTAGTATTTCCAATGAGGACATTATTATGTTCTTGTTTTGTTACGATTCAGGCCTTGGATTCAAGTGGAATTTATGAGAAGACGCTGGAAAGGGAACCAGTTATGGGCGAAAACATTCAGAGGTTGAAGTCGTGTATAACCGACTTTAGGAATAAAATCGAGTTTGCAGAGGAAAGAAGTCGAAGAGCTGAGAAGGTTTTAAAAGTGAAGGAACAGAGACGCGATATTCTTTTGGAAGACATGGCACTGATTCATGAAAAAGTGACGCTGAAAAAAGACAAGTTACAGAAAACTCACGTGCTTTTGGAGGGTAAACATCATCGACTAGAAAAGTTAGACGAAGTTCTGCGTGAAAAAACAGAAATCTGCAAAGAACTTACACGTAATGACACCCAAAATTTTCGAAAAACTCTGGAGATGGAGATTGCAATGAACAAAGCGCGCGCTAAAGCTATGGATTATGAAAATAAGACCATAGAACTGAAAACCCGAGCTAAGTTGTGTGAAAGAGAGATTCAAATGGCAAAAATCGCAGAGATGAAGGCGATGCGTAAGACTGCCGACCTAACCAGCCGGCTCATCACTAGGAAAGGGCTTTTCGAAAGACTGAAAATCAAGGAGGAGCAGTTTCACAAACGTGAAGAAATTTTCGTCGATAAAATACACAATTTAGAAGAGAGTATTCAAGAAGCAACCACACGGGCCGAGGCTGCGGAAAGAAGAATAACTCTATTAAAAACTAAAGTTTCACAACTTCGCCAAGAACTTCTCCAACAGAGAAGTAGGCGCAAGAGAATATTTCGACTGAAGAATGAACTTGAACATCTGCCGCTGGAATATTGATTTAATGAAGTTAAAATATTCAGTTGCCTTCAGAAACTTTTTTTGGGACTTCGCGTCCCCTGGCTACAGTTTGAAAAATTACATTTTACCTGATCTCGCACGAGATTCATGCACTTGTAGAAAATGAAGACAACGTTTGCTCAACTTTCTCAACCTACTCCCAACGAAAAATATCTCCCCAAGTTCATTCTTAGTACCATTAGTAAAAACAACACTAAGTCTGGCTCTTCTATGAATATACTTAAAAAACGTACCCTTAATCAAAGGACAAGGCTTGTGTAAGACAATATTATCCAGAAAATAAACTGAAAGGTTAGCGCACGGGATTTTTATAACTGATAGAGAAATAAAGTAAAACTACCAAAACTTTCCAACTTTATAAGGTCATTAATTATTTTATT